TTTCCCTATTACCGTCTTGCCCCACGAGGCTTCGCTCCGTGTGCCCCACAGGAATTCTAATGCAAAGAAAGATCCCGAGTGACAAACACGTGTGACCGTCCTCTCTGCACTGTGGACAGCTCTGGCCTGGCAGAGGCGATGCTGGATACAAGCTCTGACGGTTTTTTCTTCCTGCAGTGCCAGCTGATCGTCTGTCAGATGAGCAGCACGCGCTGCCAGCCTCTGAACTGGATGCTGCTCCCCATAGCGGCGGTGCTCTTCATGGTGATGTCCGGGTTCGCGCCAAACAGCGAAACGCTTCTCCTCTACTTGTTAACTGCTTTCCTCACCCTGGCGCACATCCACTACGGCGTGGTCGTGGTAGGTGAACTTGGCACGTGGGCTTTGGGCTTTGCTTGGGTGCTGCTGCTGTTTGGGGCAGAGAATACTCCGCTTAAAAACGGGAACGTCGGTGGGAACGGCTCTCTGTGTCATCCTGTCCGTGACCGTGTCAAACTCGAGCTGACTTCCTTGCGAGAGGCTCGCGTGGGCTGTCGTGTGGGTTTGAGGCAAGCTTCGCACAACGTGACGGGGGCTGTTGTACTGGAGATTAGTTTAAACAAATACTTGCGTCTCTGCTGCTGTGTTTAACTCATCCTGGCTGCGGTTCCAGCTTAGTGACCAGCTTGGATGTAAGCCAGCATGGGTGACCCGCACCCTTGGGCAGCACCCAGATACAGCGTCTGCACGTCGAGCAGGAGTGCGTAACTTGGGAGTCTTGGTGTAAAAAGTTAAACTGCTGGTGATGTTACTGTGGTGGCTGGGTTCGATCTGTGACCTTGCTGATGTGGCCTGTGCTGGAGTCACTGGGAGAGCCAGGATGAAGGGGGATGTCCCTGCTAGGGAACGTGGTGACCTGCTGCAAGGGCTCTGCAGAGACCCAGGGACCGATTTCCTCCCCTTCCTCTGTGCCAGCTCTGCCTGGCTCCCTGAGTTTTGACTGAGAGAGAAAACAAACTCAGAGGAGATGGAGTCCCAGTAGAAATGCCCCAGGAAGCTGCTGAGGAACGAGGGCGAGGGACCCGATGTCCCCTGCGGAGCTCGCTGCTGCCACGTACGAGCACCCTCCTTGGGAAGCCCTGTCCCCTGGGAGCCCCGGCTCTAATGTGGAGCCTCCAGAGACGAGTCTGAACTGTAATTACAGCAAAGAAGTAATAGCCAGGTTGTCTTGTCTTTCCAATTAGTGTAATGAGGCTTCTGTGCAAGAAGGATTTGAATAGCTAAGAAGCTTAAATAAATTTGGTCTCGGGATCATAGCTGGAGATGGGGAGTGACCCGTGGTGTAATTAATCCTCCTGTCTGCCCAGGCTTGCCCATTCCCTGCACTGAGCTTCTCTGTGCTCGGCTCCCTGGGTTTGTGTTCCCCATGTTCCCCCCTCCAGCCTTCCAGGGGCCCATCTGTGCAGTCTCCTCTTCCAGGATAAAAGAAACGTTTAGCTGAAGAGCCTTTTAAGGCTCTCTGACTGGGACATAATCCCAAACTGCTCTGAATTTGGGAGCGATGATTAGGAATAAAGCCTCTGCCCTGACTCCGGTGCTGCTCAGCACTGCTCGTTTTGGTTCTGCAATGCCCGGCACCAAATGCCGGTGCCACGCCATCCGTTTTATTCTCCTGTCTGCTGTTCTCTGAACCATGCCTGAAAGCTCGTTTCCTGGTGCAGCTCTCGGTCCTCTGTGGCTTTCTCCTGTCCTCAAAAGACACGGTGAAAGCTCCTTCTGAAGGCGGGTGTAAAAGGGGCTGCCTCATTATGCAAAACCTGGTGGTGGGTTCTGTAACCCTCCTGCCTGTGTCTTCATGGTCAATACAAAGTACCTGACCCCCAGTTTGAATTGTAAATGGATTCAGGGAGCGATTTTTCATATAGATATCCGAGATGATCAAATTAATCTCAGCCAAATAATAAAAATATTGCTGGGAGGGGCAGAGAGGGAGCAGTACCGCAGGGTAAAATGCTGCGTGCCTGGGCTCGGGGCAGGCGTTTCCAACTCCTGCCTTGGAGGAGGGGAGGGTGGAGGTGAGTCTGCTCCTGGACAGGCCATGCTGTTGGTTGGGAAGGCGTGGGAAGCGAGCAAGGCTGCACCTTGCAGGGCCCCGACGCTGGGCTGGCAGGGACAGGGCAGCCTGGCCGGCCCCAGCAGCACAAGGCAGAGGCTGGGGTCCACATCTGCTGCGCCCGTGGGCAGCAGGAAGGTGGCAGGGCTTTGTCGGCCGTACAGGGAGCCGGTCTGGTGTTCTGCCTGCTTTCCTCCGCGTCCCTCCGAGCCTTGCTAACCCGGTCCTGTTGTCTGCCTTGTCCCCAGGTGAGCCAGCTGAGCAGGCACTTCAATATACGGCCCTTCTCGCTAAAGAAGCCCACGCCAGATTGACTAGGAGTGGAAGAAGAGAAAATCGGCTTGCGGTCTGCAGAAGTACTGTAAATAACTGCTGCAAATACCTGTAAATAACTTCAACCATCACCACAGATGTAAACCTATCCTCTGGACAGACATCAGGGCAAAGTACGCACGGTATCCGGTGCAGCCAGGGCAGGACTGGTATGGGGCAGCCTCCGCTGCTATTTGACAAATGCAAACTTTCCGTTTTGGGTGAAACTGGATGAGGAGCGTAGCCTTTCAGGTCACTCTTACTGTATATTAGACCAGCTGAATGTTCCCAGTGAAACCTCAGACTCCAACTCTTGCTCAGGTAAAGCCGTTTGGGGGTGCAAATGGCTTTACCTGAGCAAAGCATCTTGACCTATCACCAAAACCAGCGTAACTGCTGATTTCTACAAGGTCAGGGGAACATCCTGGTGGTCGGGGGGGGTTCTGTCTGTCCCTAATTCTGCTAGACAGCCCTTGTCCTGGCCTGGTCCTTAGGGAACAGATGGTCACAGTTCTCCCACATTCTGTCCAGCCTTCCTGTACTCACTTATTTGGGCAAATATTTGCACCTTTTTTTTTTTTTAAGAGGGGAGAAAAAAAAAATACACAAAACTTCTAGTAATATTCTACTTGGGGAGCTTAGAAAATCAGGGCTTAATTTCCTGTATAAGTGAGAAGGCAGCTTCTGCCTCCCCTGCTCGGGCTGTGGGTGCCTGGGCCCACATCTCGACCGTGTTCCTGTCAGTCTGTGTGTGTTCCTTGCCTGGAAGTGGGGTCTGGGCTCCAGTCGGCACCAGAAAGTGGCTTTACACCAGCCTAACACAGAGCCGAACTCCTCTGTCTCCCGACCAGTATGAACTTGCCGTTTTGGGTCGTTGCACGCTGCCTGAGCCTCCTCTTTTGTAGCAGCGCAGCCAGGCTCAGTCTGTGCATCGCCCTTCCCACCAGACCATCAACGGCAGCAAATCCACCGCTTGGAGAAGCACCTTAAGAGCTGTGTCGGTTGTGTGTGCACTTTCAGAAAGCTCACAGGTGTGTGTGTGGTGGGGTACTTTCCAAATATCACTTTGTTTTCAAAACCGTTGTCCCCAGTGGCTGCATGTCTCATCCAGGGATATATTTGTTTACTGTCCATTTGTAAAAGACATGTTTGCATTGATTTTTTTTTTTAAATTTGTTTTTTGTAATTGAGTTAGAGTGGGGTGGTGAAGACTGAATGCTGATTTTCTTTTCTGTTCACTTTATTTAATGAAGACCTGTGCTTGAATGAAGAGTGTAGCTTAAACCCAGGCTCTGGAAAGGCTGCATCCGGAAGCGAACAAGCACAGCGGGTTGTGCATATGTAATCTACCATGGGAACAAAGTCGCTTATACACTGATTATTGTGCAACGTGGTTCGTAGAAGCTTGGTCACAGCCGTTTCCTTCTGCAGGTGAAGACTCTTCCTGCTTTAGGAAACCTTCAAACTGTAACTACTATTTAATGCTTTTTCTTTTGTAAATTTGAATCATTGTCAGGCAGGCTGTGAGACTTAAAACCCTGAGGCACGCTCACACGTTCACTGCGGGACATCAGGGTTGCTCGGTCACGGTATGGCCTGCGAGGAGCGAGCTGGGACGTTCGTCCGGGCTGACATCGTGGCTGAACATCTGTATGCTCATCTGTCTGTACGGCTACGTGTCTGGGAAGGGTGGCTAATCTGGGAGAGGTGGCAAGTGGTTTTCGGAGTTTATTTAATAAAGTAGCTTACTCCTATATTTTACTGATGTTGTACAGGAAAAAAATGACCTAAGCGTACGAATGAATTGGGCTGTGCTTGAATTTTTGACTCTTGCTATTTAATGAAATGTAATTACGAAGGGAGATAAATTTAAGTCACACTCGCACAAGAATTACAGGGAGTCTTAAAACGGGATACAACACATAAGTGGGATGTGTTCGGATAGCACAAATCGTGCTAGCAGCACTGACAAGCAGCGGTGGTTGGACGCTTTACTTTCTAGTTACGTGTTTGCAGGACCAGGGAATACCTGAGCTGCTCCCTCAGGGTTTCAGCTGCGCTCGGGGGGTCCCTGTCTCTTCCCACCAGCCTTGCTGGCCCCCGAGGACCAGGCCAGTGCTGATGCTGTGAGAAGTTGTCTGATCTTCAGTCTTCGGCTGTCGCTTTGTCTCCGTGACACACTGTTTGTCTGTTGTCTCACCTCGCTGTGAGCGGGTGTGCTTTTGCAGCACGTAATATACCCCGAAAAACCCCTCTGTGGAGTTATGAAGATGTGGAAGCAGGGCTTCCTCTCTAAAATCCTGCAAATACTTGTCATGCTGTAGGAGAAAGATCTCTCTTAAAAACTGGAACCACTTCCTATCTGCACAGACTTTTTCTTTGGAGAATCCTGGATTTTTGGTGCCTTGATTTATTGCACCTTGAAGCTAGAAAAATATCTCCTTAAATCAGTGCTGGAAAACAGGCTTGCTTGTCTCTGGTGCAGCCGGGCTCGTGGCAGAGCGAGGAGAGAGCAGACCTGATTTCAGCACCCACGCGACTGTTCCCCACTCGTGCTGTTTGGGGGGGTCTGTTTGGGCTGTCAGGAATTAAGTGATTTCTGCTCCCGGATTCTGGGGGAAATGGAAATGAACTGAAGGACCAACCCATCTTGTTGTGGTGAGGTGTGGCATGCTGAGAAACAAACTATTTATTAATAATAATGGGTTTAAGTCTTAAGAAGAAGATGCTAACAAGTGATTCTGTGAGGGTGTTGGGTGCTTGCCTTGCTGGCCAGCTCTGTCCTCGGGCTCCTTGGGATGGGACGGAGTCCTGCGCAGGCTGGGTAGGACGTGCGCTCACTCCTCAGCTCCCGTCTGGCATTTGAGAGCTGATCTGTGTTGTCTCTTCTTCCAGGGATAGTGTTAATCATATTTTCTTAATTACTGATGGACCTGCTGAGTTGATAATAGGACTGTCTTCTGCTTTCCTAAATCTGTTTTGCACGTTTTATCTCTGTACAGAGTATTACCAGGCAACAGATGTGTTCAGGGAGGGGTGCAGTCCTTCAGGACGCTCTGGGATGTCGGTCCCTGCCCCCGGGCTCCAGGCAGGTCCTCGTGCTGTGGGAAGAGGTGGCCCACGCTGCCCGTCGTGGCTGCACCGTGGCTGGTCAGCCTTCGCCCTGAAGCAGGTTTTGGAGGGAGCTTGGGACACACCAACGTGTCAGTGCAGGACTTGAGTAGCCCTTTTCCATCTCGGTCTTCTGGTTCGTATCACGGCTCCTGCCCCTGTGCCCATCCAGGGACCTAGCACAGGAATTCACGAGCGGAGCCGGGGCTGAAGTGCAGGTTTTGGGATCTCCTGGGGTTTGGGTAAAACTGGCTGTTGCACTAAAAGCAACATTTTTCAAGTAGAAATGCTGCGGCTGAGCTCTGGACATACAAACACGGGGAACGCCAAGCATCTATGCACTGTGGTTTTAGCTTGTTCCTTCCCCCGGTGCCGCAATGAACTCCTCCGCTCCGCGGTCGGTCGCTGCGGGGGCTCGGCAGCAGGCTCTCCTTCGGGAAACATCAGCCACCTCATACGGGCGGCTCTGCCGGGACCAGGGGAGCAGAATGCTGTAAGCGTGAGCTTCTGAGGCTTTGGAAACACATATTTAAGCTCCTTAAATAGAGCTGGCCTGATGTTACCTCCCAGGTGCGTTGAGTACCTGCAGCTTGTCGTCTGCGAGCTGTTGTGGGCTCTAGCAAGGCCCCTGAACTCTTGAGAGCGTCTGAGCCTGCTTGTGGTGGACCTGGAAAGTTTCTGGAGAAGCAGTGCTTTTTGGGAGCTAGCTCAGATCTGGGTTTTTTCATACACGGGTCCAAGGGAACAGTTGATTTTTGTGCAAACAACCTGTAGCTGAGCTCTGGTCACCTTAGTTTATGGCAAAACTGTGCACGGGGTTTCTGTGTCCTTCCGAAACACGCAGGAATCCCTGAAGCAGAGTCTTGTTTCCAGTTGTCCCTTTTTGCTGGGCACGTATCGCTCTCTCGAGCGGTGGGAGTCCTTCAGCACACCAGCGTTCCCTTCCACCCCTCCATCCCACAATCTTTCAGCGCGGTGTTTCAGCCTTGCTTCGGTGCCGTGGGCCAGCGGTGGTGATAGAGCCGGGTCAGCTAAAAGCTCGTTTACTCGTTGCTTTTCTGATGCAGATCTACAGCCCCGGTGTGGGGTTGCAACCTTGACTCATCCTGCTTTTGCCCACCTAGTCTACCTCGCTGTGCCGTGTCGAAGCAGCGGCCGAGGGCAGGTGGAGGCTGCTCTTGGTGGGACGTGGTGATGATGGGTGCTACACTGACCTCTTTGCTTCTGGAAAAGGTCACTCTTAGTTTGTAGAAGACCCTTTGGCCCATCCAGGTGTGGTCAGACCTGGCCTGAGGTCTCTGAGGAAGGGTCAGGGCGTCGTTGCCCCAGGAGCGGACGTTCCCGGTGAAATTCGCTGCTCACCCTCCAAGGTGCCGTTCATCTCGGCCAGTGGCATCTGTGGTGGCTCTTTGGTAGGAGCTGGTGCTGTGGTTCAGGTTGGAGACCTCATTAATCAAAATCTTGTGCCCCACTCCCCCCCGGCAGCGTTTCAGACTGACCTCCCGTCCCTCGAGCTTTCGGCTGCAGAGGATGCTGGTTTGGGTAGTGGTCGTGTTGTGCTGGTGCCAGCTCCTCTGGAAGAGGAGGGGGGTGGCTCCCAGGCTGGGTTTGCCTCCGGTCTTCTGAGTGCGTGCTGGATCGCTCTCTTCTCCATCTGTAACCCTGCACCTAAAGGCAAACCAAGGCAGCAGCCTCACACCCAACCCGCAGAGAGGCTCCGTGGGGCGAACCGGAGCATTTCAGGGCCTGGCTCCCCTGGGGCTGGGGGTGCTCTGCCAGGCTGCCCACGGGAGCTGAGCCAGTCCGGTCCCTCCGCGCAGGGTTGTCCCTAAACAGAGATCAGATGGAGCAGCCTGGCCATGCAGCGGTCCCGGTGCTGCCGCGGTCCCAGGGAACCCTGATCACTTCCCCGGAGTCTTGTCGCTGGGAGTTTAGGTACTGCAGTGGGTTTGAATTCCAGTCTGTTAAATGCTATTACTGAAATATTTATTGTGTTTAAACCAAACAAAAAACTATTAAAGTTCAGTAAAGAATAAAATTTTCCAAGCCTTTTAATGGTGTTTGTGTTTGGTTTTTTTTTTTTCCCCCTGAGCAGGCACCCCAGCCCCAGGGGTAGGTTTGGGCAGCGCTGCCCGGGCTGGAGCTCCGGCCCCACTGGGACCAACAGACTTGCCACGGCAGGGGTGGAAAATCTCCTGTGGGCTCTCCCTGGAGCGCTGCGTTTTAGTTACCCACGGCTGTGGTGCTTGTCGAGGTGCTGCAGGGCCCCGGGTTGCACGGGGTGGGGGGTGCAGCACCCTCCTTTAGCTGCACCGCTGCCATCCCCAGGGCTCTCCCTTGGCCCCCAGGCTTCTC